CGCCTCATCACCAAACTGGACAGGTTGCACCCAGACCGGGTGGCTTCACAGGTGTCACAACCGCGGGCACCTAGGAGACTTCAGGTGGGCGATCCGGTTTGGACTAGGAACTATGGGCCTGGACATCTCTGGGTCACAGCTGTGGTCTGGAAGGTCTCTGGGTCATTGTCATACGAAGTTGCCTTGGATGATGGCCGCGTTCTTCGCAGACAAATAGACCAACTGCGTTGGAGATTGGACAGCCACGTTTCCGCTCCTGGCTCTGCTCTGGGGGGAGGGAGGAAGATCATAATATGCATTCTGGGTCACAGATTCCCAGGGATTCTGGGTCACAGGTTCTCAGGCCTAACAGGGCCTCACAAGATGCTGAGGCTGTTTGGGGGTCATCCCAAGATTCCGCAAGTGCTCCAAGCAGGAATTCCCAGGACAGGGGGGCATCCCGCACATCCGTCATTGCTTCAGACAGGGAGTCACACCAGGGGTATCCACATTATTCAAACATGTCAGATAGTGCTCCAGACAGGGAGACAGACCGGGGGTATCCACATAAATCACACACAGCCATAGAAGGGGAATTCCATCAGGGGCACTCGCATAATTCAGCAATGGCTCCAAAAAGGAAGTCACTAGCAAGGGGGGTTGCCATGGAGGCAGCTCCTGACTCTGGCACCCCTGGCATGTGCTCGGGGGCTACGGAGTACTGGGGCACTTCCGCCACTCAGGCCTCTCCAACTGCTGGCCTTGGGCTCGAGGGGCAGTGTTCCCAAGAGGAGTCCATTGTGGGCTCGGGGACTTCCACCCCTCCAAGGTATACTGACTTGGACTCAGAGGGTCCAGCCAGTCAGCAGCTGGGTGGGTCAACCGAGTATTTGGGGCATCAAAGTCCTGGCCTGCCTAGCCTGGTAGGCAAGCAGGTAGGCCAGGCACCCTCACCAGGGTCATCTGGGTTTTCAGGGCATCGAAGACCTGGCCTGCCTAGCCTGGTAGGCGAGCAGGTAGGCCAGGCAACCTCACCGGCCCTTAGGAGGTCGCAGCGGGCCATGTGCCCACCTAAACATCTACAAGATTATGTGAGGTTGCTGTCAACATATGAGGAACCTTGTATGGGGTCCCTGAATGAGGGAATTAACACTTAGGAAGAGTGTCATATACTATTTTGATTTTGGGATACATTTATTTGAGTTAATGACTTTTTGAAAGAGGTTTGCCTGCATGCAGACCCAAGCATTTCCACCCTCCTTGCATTTGAATAATGCATCTGTATACCACTCTCCCTGCATTACACAATGCACCTGTGCGGAAGCTATGTGTGTTCCATCTAGGGGGGAGGGGTATTGTGTCCTGAGCCTGCAAGAGCTGAAAGCAGGCTCAGAATGTTGCAAATGGTCCCGGGCATTCCAAAAGCTGCCCGGGACCAGACAGAGTGGCGCCAGCCTTGCACGCATGCGCAAGGTGCGAAAAGGCTAAATTCCTATTGGTTCACACTGCCCGGGTTTCAAGCACTATAAAAGGCCTGCGTGCCTTTTGCTGTTTGCTTGGTTGCAGGAGAGAGAAAATAAAGAGCTTGTTGATTGTCACCATGTGTCTTCATCAATTGCAAACGAACCGAAAACTCAACAGTACTCATAAGTATATTATACACTTTACATTGCTTCTGTTCCCAAGGGTTTCTTATGGAAGTCTGCTTTGCTCTGGTGATTTTGCCTCCTCCATAGGCTACTTTTAGCTGGTGCCTCTTGTTGAAAGTACTATCATTTCTTTGAAGCACAACTCAAAGAGTTTATCCATTATTGATTACTCTCTCCTGCTTCACCACACGTTCTGCCTCTATGCCTGTTCACCCAAATAATAGATGAAGCATAGGGAGCATCCTCAAAGCATTTTGGAACCTCACCTCCAAACTTGTGATCTGATATCCAGATTATTTCTAAACACTTGTCTAGCAATCTCTTTAAAGTGTGGTAAGCCTGCATCCAAAATTAGCCCAGCTGAGAAGTATCAGGGCTGGAGGAAGGCAGTACCTCCACCTGCTAGCTGGGTAGCTTAACATGCATCAAAGTCACAATTCAAAGCATCTTCCTACATGTGCTCCACCCTGCCACATCACGTTAATGATGATTTAAAGCTAGCTGTTGGAAGGTGACAAGCAAACCTCCTAAAACCATTCTGGTAGATTATCAAAACAAGCTTCAAGCCCATGCCACTATGCAGGCAAAAGAAAAGAGAACAAGAATGTGTACATCTATTTCAGTATGATTAGGGCCTGCATTTGATACATAGCAGATGTCATGGTTCCGATAGATGAGACCAATCAAAGCAGAACTCTGAGGCTTGAGTTTTCCTCTAAGAACATGTTTATTGGCTACGAAGTATCGGCATGGTCAAAAGTGAAACCATGACTAAAGTTCCCTCCAAAAAGTAACAGTATTACAAAGTTAAACTTCCCACTCCATAGCCTATGCAATCAACTACGTTTCCCAATAAAATAGTTTGGCGGGCTTTCTAACATTAGGTTCAACCCCCCAGCTGAGGGAACAGAAATGACCTTGGTTCCCACGGACAGAGAATTGTTTAGGCTAGCATAAAACCTCCCATTCCTCCCCCCATAATCTTGTGGCAACCAAAAACGAGCAAGATGGCTTCGGCCAGGTTTGTTGCAGAGTTGACAGAAGTCACTAAAATTGTTTTATAATGGCTTTGTTATCTTTTCTTCACTAAATCTACATATTAAAAGCTCTCTTGTCCTTGAATGTCTGTGTCAGAACTCATATTTTAAAGGACCCCTTTTCCCTCTCTAACCCCGAACTTTGTTCTCTTCTCTTCCTGGGTTCTGCCATACTCCTGGAGGGGAGGGGGAAGTGTTTGCAGGTTATTGCTTTGTTCCCTCTATCGCTACAATGTAACACTTTGCTGTTTCTGCATATTTCCTCTGTGAACTTTCTCTCCCTTTGTTGTCAGCTAGTAAAAGGGGGGAGGAGAATGGAATGTACCTCCGGCAACTGGAATGTACCTCCAGCAACTGGTTTATCTCTGCGTTCGGAAGGGAACGTGTGAAAAGCTGACCAAACTTCACTGCAGCCCGGAGACAGACTGACGTTATCTCCCTTTTTCCCACAACAAACTTAACACCTTGGGATTGGCCTGTTTGAACTGATCGAATGAACTACAGGGTGGGGTTTTGCTTAGGATACTTTTTACCTATTGATCTGGCGTGAAACCTTCAGATCCTGTCTATTATGCCTGCTATCAACTTCTCCTACTAAAAGCTCCTTTTGGAAGAAACTGCTTCCACGAGTTCTACTTTCTTAGGATGAGGGTTTGAAGTGGGCCCTGACAGTCTGCTTATTTATTTCTAGTCTGGCTTGCCAAGAGAAGCCTGACAAACATGATTGGTAGTATAGTACTTCCTAGGGATAGGTGATGCTACACCAAAGGGGAAATTAAGCTGGGGAAATCACCCAATTTCCTTCATTTGTCCCATATTAAAACTGTCAAGATTGGAGGACACTACTATTTATTGAGGCAACATGAGGTTGAGAGTGGGACAGGACAATTTATATCAGCAGAGGTAATGGAGGCAAATTAAAAAAAAATCTATTGTAAAATTACCCACACTAACCAAGTGCTCCACTACCGAAGTCACAAGCCAACCTTCCACAAGAGAAGCTATGTAAAACAAGCACAAACACACTCCAACAACCCTGAACTTCAGGAAAATGAAAACAATAGTCTATACAACATCTTCCAACACAACTTTATCAAACGCACCTGATCACTCAACCCACTACAACATAACCAACACAAGCTATGAAAAGAAGGTTGCAGTTTATTGAAGAGGAGAGCCAGATAGAAAGATAGCTCTGGAAGAAAAAAGAGAGAAAGTATGTAGGGAGTGGGTTTTTATACCCCCTTTGTATTTCCTATGTCATGTATTTTGACCTGAGTCTGAGTGTGCCCCTTTGGCATCTGTGGGTTAATCCTATTATGTCCTGTCTTAGAGTTTGGGTGGGTTATGTAGATTTTAGCTGTCTTTGTCTTTCTAAGCTTCTAGGTGGAGGGCTACACCTTCCTGAATGGATTATTACATCTGCATTTCTACAGAGCTGGTTTCTGCTTGGGAGAGGGAGACTTGGGGCTATTAGGAAAAACTGGGCATGCTTTTCTGCCTCTTTAAGATCTTTTGAGGAAATATAATATTCTGCCCTTTTAATATTTCCTTCTCTGGGTGGGCTGACTTCCCACAATTTGAAGGCACTGGATTACAGCCAATCCGGAAATTAATTAACCGCCAGTATTTAGCTTTATGTAAGAGTTTACCACCCGTTTTTGGTTGCATTCCCAAGCAATCCAATTCTGGCAGACCTGGCCCTCCACCCAGTGGCATAGCGTGGGTTGTCAGCACCCGGGGCAAGGCAAGTAATTTGCGCCCCCCCCTCCACAGTGGGCGGCGACCCGGCGGCTCGGATAGGATTCGCACAGCCAGCACTGCAGAGAGAGTGAGTGAGCCAGGCAGGGGCAGAGAGCTGCGAGTGCGAGCGCGCCCCCCCAGATGTTGCTCCCGGTGCGGCCGCCCCCCCCCCACGCTACGCCACTGCCTCCACCATAGGCCTTACACCGTTTTCGGGCATGAGCATTAGCATTGGCCTCTTAACCCAACATTTGGTTCACCCCCCCGCTATAAATTTAGCCTACCAAAGGTGGCCCTCTAGGCATCTTGCATTCCACACTGGGCTCCACACTAGCAAGCCAGGCTTCTTGCCCATTTCAGCCCCGACATCTAGGAATAGGAAATATTCTTGAATTTTCTCGGTGGATATGCCTGTAAAATTGAGCGTGGAGGAAAATTTACTCCCTCTTTGTAGATTGATGTGCCTTCGGAGGCGCAACAGGTATTAGAAGCACGTTACAGTTTCCGCGGCTCCTGTAGGGGGCGCAAACGCTCGCTCGGAAGAGACTGGCGCCACCATCGGCACAGTAGCTCGGTCACGTGGCTTCGCAAGCGCTACGTGCGTGCTGAAGTCAGACGCTGTTAGGCGCCGCCGGTTTGGCTATTCGCCCGCCATTTTGGCCCGCTCTGCGTGAAAGCTGCTCAGGCGGTCGCTTCGGCCTCGGTAAGTGGGATCCCGAGGCGGCGTTACCTGGAAAATAGCAGAGGCCGAGGGGCCGAAGGAGAAGGGGGAGGGAAGTATGGTGCCGGCGATCCTTAAAAGGCTCCGGGCAGGGGAGAATCTCCCGCCGGACAGAGTCGGGTGGCTCGCGGCGAGCCCCGACTGGAGCCGGGCGCCAGTGCAGAGAGAGCATCGCCCTTTCCCTTGCACCTTGGGGGTCTAAAGGATGAGCTGGAAGACCCGCGCCTTGAGCTTCCTATTTTACTCCTAACTCAGGACAAAAGGAAATTTGTGGGGGGAGGGGGCAGAGAAGACCGCCGGAATCGGAGATCCCTTTTTTTTAACATCCGGTTTTTCGTCTTCAAGGTTCCGGCGTCGTTTCCTAACTATTTTTTCCCAACCCCAATTCTCTAAACAGCCTCGATTATTCTATTTATTCTCACCTTTCATTCCTCATCCGGCATTTCTCTCCTTTCCGATTTGTTCCTTCTGGGGAACATGACTAACTTATGTGACTAAGCCTGGCCTAAGATTGCTCAAGGCTGCTGTTCCTGTACTTGTGCTAAGTTTGAAAGTAATTTCTTTATGGTGAGGCAAAGGATAAAAAAAATTAAGGATACAGGGTTGTTGAGGGGAAAAATAGGAGGAAGGAATATTATATGTGTTCGCTGCCTTGAGCTACTTAGAAAGTAATAAAGGCGGGATAAAAATCTAATAAATAAAACAATCCATTCAGATCAGGCGAATTTGCTCCTCAATGAACTGGCAGGAAGGACAATTGTGTGTTGAAGAGGATTCTGACAGTAATAGGTCAGTTAGCAATTAGTGTAGTACCGGTATATGATTGACTGAAAAATAAGGTTCCTTGCTGATCATCTGGATGTGGAGGTCTTTATCAGAATCTTTTTTCTGGAAAAGTACAGAGATATTCCAGTTGAAATACTCCTTCCAATATATTTCAAGTTTTATTTTTCCTGTGGTTTTCCCCAACCCTTTGGTAGTTTTATGATACGAATCCTTGGAGCTGACGTACTTTTCCTAGAAGAAATTACAGGTGACTGCCACAGAATGGATGAATTTGTAAAATTGGTTGTCAGCCCTTTAAGATAACCCAGAGCAAAAACCATGTGTTTTAACATTATCTTAGCATTTCTCCCCTCCTTTTCTTTCACTTTCCAGAAAACCAGGGAGAGTTCTTTCTAGATGCTTCCCACATTCTTTTTCCTTTTGTGTGCTGAGATACCTTTTGCATAACAATTGTCTAATCTGCAGCTCTTCCTCTTATCCTCTAAGGTCATTCTTGCATAAGTATAGGAGGCAAAATGTAACTAAGTAAACAGTTTTCTCGATGCTTTTTTTCCCTCCAAAAGCAACTGGACTTCTTAGTGTTTTTTTTTCTTTCAAAACATTTCACTTCTCATCCAAGAAGCTTCTTCAGAGCTAACTGAAAAAAGCACTTTTGGTTCCTGGATGATTGAGAATAACCATAGGCATTCAAATGTAGACAGTTGCTGATAAGGAAATAAGATCCCAGCTTTTTAAAACTATTGTTCTAATCACTGTCCTAAACTAGTTGAATTTTTCACCCTTGCCTTATCATTTGACTGGTTTAATCATTGAGAGCTGTTATATGAGGTTTGAGCTAGACACCATGTTTTTTCTGTGTAGCCTACACTTAATGAAACATTCTCCATCACATCACATCGCACAGTCACTTTTTAATTAATGTTCCATAAACAAGCTAAGACTATTGTTTCAGCAAATCTTGGGTCCCTAAGTGTATTTTTATGTATTTTTATTTTGTGTACTGTAATATGCTATTTAGAGATCTCCAGGATTATAAACATTGCAAATAAATCTTAAGGCTGTATTTTTGGAACAATGAAAAGTTCAAGGCAATCTCTTCTTTGTGGTGATTTTTTGGGGGGATGGGACTCAGTGCAGCAACCCATACTCCTTTTCTAGTTCAAAGGTAAAGAAAACAACAATAAGGAATCTTCATTCTAATAATAAAAATGACAGTATTAGAAAACGTGAGGTAGAAGATTCTCAGTATTTTTTTAGCAAGGTTATATATCCTTTTCTCATTTCCTTTAATTAATGGCTTTGTTGTGTGAGTATTTTTGAATATCAGTTGTCTGAATGCTATATATAACATGTTTCCCCGAAAATAAGACAGTCTTTTTTTTCCTCCAAATGAGGCACGAGCTCTTATTTTGGGGGAGGGGGGTCTTTTATACTCACCTCTGGCATCGATAGCCCTGCCCAGCCAGTCCACTTCTTCTGACCGATGAAGCACCTTCATTTTTCAGCTGCATTTTGGCCTGCATTTTGCAGTCAGGTCTTTCCGGAAGGCCTCTGCAGCCGAGTACCAAGCAATGGATTCAATCCATAGCTTGGTCCTCGGCTGCAGAGGTCTTGCAGAACTGAACTATGGATTCAATCCATAGCTTGGTTCTGGCTGCACAAGCCTTCCAGAAAGGACTGTGACTGAAAAATGCAGGCCTGACTGCAGAAGACACCCCAGAAGAAGTGGGCTGGTGAGGAGAGGCCTGGCTGCAAGGTAAGTGGGTGCGGGACGCGTGGGGCAGTTCCACTCCCCCATCCTTGCCCTAGCTTGATTTTTAGGTGTGTGCCTCGCCCCAAAACTAGGGCTTATTTTTGGGGTAGGGCTTATATTAGGCCCACCCCAAAAAATCAAGCTATGGCTTATTTTCGGGGTAGGCCTTACTTTTGGGAAAACACAGTATAAGTGATCTCTTTTCTATATAGTTTGCTGCTAAAATAGTTAATCAAGTCTGTATGTTGGTTGAAGTCATGACTATGAACTAAACTTTATATTATATTAACAGGTCTTGTATCTGGTTGTTCTTTTGTCCTGAATACTTAGGTAGTTCCTCTTTATTGCTAAATCTGAATCAGCCAGATAAGATTGCAAATCATATTCTGATCTAGATTGAAAAAATCACATTCAGTTTAGATAAAGTTGATCAAAGTGAAGTAGAATGATATAAGGAATATTCCAAATGAAAGGCTCATTTATATAACAGTAAATTGGCAATCTTAATGCTAATAGATGGATGATCCCTGAGTAAAAATGATATGAATAAAAGGTAATTATACGATTGTTATCTTGATTACAGAGATACATGTTATTATGTTAAGACAGTGTTCTCACAACTCAGTTAACCATAATCCTAGATTATAAAATCTTGATTCAAGACTACCAAGATGGTAGCTGTTCAAGCCTACATAAGTAATTGTAAACCTTAAAGAGTTGAAAAGTTAAAGGTAAATGTTTCTCTGAACTGTTCCAACATGATATAAGCAGCGAGGTTTTTCTCCTTATATACTTAACTCCTCCCCCTTTGTGCCACTTAACCTTGCAGCATTTAGATTATTCCTGATATTGAATTATAATATATCTTTTTAATATGTTGACTTTCATTTTTCTTATTTTGTTCATGAAAAAGTATAGTTATTTTTCTTTCCCCACACCTCAGCAATTAATTTTCTTTTAAAAATAATTCCTGGTACTTCATGTCCCTCTCTAAAAGTGCAATGTCAAGTTACATTATGTGCATTAAAGTACCTTTATATATATTAGACTTGAAATGTTTTTGAAACCATGACACCAACATCTATCCCTTGTAGATTCTTTTACATTAAAGTAGTGATGCCTCCATCAAAAAAGTGTGCTCTTTTTCCAAATTAAATTAATTTTAATCAAATTTTTACTGTATTAGTTAATTCTGTGCTTTGTTTTCAATGTAATATTTCAATTCCTTGAAGAATTTAGGTTTTCATTATTACAGTGAGAAGGTAGTAAAAGTGATGTTTTAACAGTGCAAATACTTGAACAGGGGAAAATAACTAGTCTGTTAATGAATAATGAAGATCATAGAAGATCCATATTATTAGAACCAGAATTTAAGATAGATTAGCAGACATCACTCACATATTCAAATATTTATGCAAATATAAAAACTTTAAAACAATGGCATATATTAAGCTTAGAATCCACAATGCATACTGCAATAGTCTGGCTTTCCTGGACTGTGCAGTACACTTATTAAGGAAGACAGAAGCTCAACATAGAAGTATAGAGAAAACCCACACACAGCTATCAGTATTTACATTTTGATTCTTACTGCCCACTAGAGCACAAAGTTATCAGAACCCTATACCATCATCATCAATGATACAGTTGATGACTCAGTCAGGGGTTATGATCTAGCCAACTTCAGGCCATTTTATGCTGCTGCAATCTTGCCCATTCTTTCTCAATCACTGGTTACAGGCCTTGATGGCCATTTTGCCTTGAACTGTGAAAGAGGCTGGATACCCTGGTTTTTGCAGAGCCACAAGAGGGATTGGCAGTGAAGGCAGTGCACATATGCTGACATACTTTCCCGCTGTCTCATAGCCTGAAGCAAAGTATTTGAATGTGTCTGTTTGGTTGTGCCCTCTGTCAGGTACTATTCTATGTGTAAAATTCCACACTCAAACTATTTATGTATTGAGAAAGCTGACATTGGTGAAATAATGATATCCATTTAACTTACAGCTAAATAACAGAATGGTCTTTGCTTAAAGTTATAAATATGTATTTCCCTTTGGAGACAGATTCTTCCAAGAGTCCAATTGACAATGCTGCTGTAATATAAAGAATTTATTCCTCTTTTGTTCCTCTTTGAGGCCATCCATGTTCAACAGATAATGACTAATGGACAGGCAGTCCATTTTTATGGACTTTTGATTTCCGTACAAGTATTTTCAAGGCTTTTATGGTTTCACAGTGAGCAAGATTTAATGTTTAATCACAGTGTATGTATTTGCCTTGAGGTATTCTGCTAGTACTGCCATTTGTTTTTCTTAAGACTTTTGACTTTAAAAGAGATTTTATACTATGCAAATCACTCAGTAATTACAGATGTTTCTTACATGATTGAGCTATAATTTTGTTTCCTTTTTTTGAAAAAAAATAGAACAATTCAGTGCAGAGATTGACATAAAAACAATATTGTTATTAAAAAAACAAAGGGATTTCTTCAACTGCATCCCTAATTAGATAGTTCTGTAATAGAGTATTTGTTGTTGACACACTATATTCAAGTTCCTGTAATCTTAAGAATACTAAAGAGTGTATTCCCTAAAAATTCCATTTGCAGTTTAGCATGCTGTTTATACCTTATGAAAGCAGAGTAGATTTTATATATGCTATTTTCAATTTGCTGTCCTAATTTATAAGACAGTGAAATTTAAGAAGGGTTGTAGTTTTATATTTTTATGTGTTTGCATTCTATTTTAGCTAGAATCTTATATTCACTGTATGGATACAGTACAGTAGTCTTCTGAGATGTTTTGCTTGCTGTTGCAACTAGAGTTTAAAAAAAAACTTAAAATCTTTTTTAAAACTTATTTTTAAGTTTAATTTTTTGGGAAGAGCTCTGAATAAGTGATTCTTTGCAGACTGGAAGTACTAGGGTCTTCTTCCTTGCATGTGTTTACATATTTAATAGCTTACTGTATGAAATGCTCTTCTAAATCTGGCAGTGTTGTGCTATGTCCTGATGCTTGTTTACTTGGTGTAGTACCTTACAAATTACCCCATTGTACTTTAATGCAAATCCAATCTTTCTATGTTAAATTTCATTTCTGAATTAAATGTTTTAAATGCTGTTCAGCAATGAAGAATAGGAACGAGTGCAGAAAGTTTAAAGATTTGCTTGGGGCTAGATTAATTCCGTGAAAGGGCACTTTGTGAGGGTTGGGGCGGCGGGAGCAGGACGCTCCGTGTGAGGGTTGGGGCGGCGCAGTGGGAGAAGGGTGCTCTGCGAGGGTTGGGGCGGGGCGGCAGGAGCAGAACGCTCCGTGCAAGGGTTGGGGTGGCGCGGTGGGAGCAGGACACTCCGTGCGAGGGGTGGGTCGGAGCAATGGCATATTCCATGGCTGAATGGAATACTATGGCCTCCTTGAATTTACCATCTTACTGCACGTTAGTAACAACCCCACAAAACCCCACCCCAGTGGTGGGATTCATTCCATAGAACTGGTACCTAATTTATTTTGAGTTCGGAGAAGCGGCCCAGAAATGGGCAGACTAGTATGCATTCACGTGCCTCCAATCCCTTCCTTCCTTGCTGCAATCTGGCTTTGCAGCAAGCAAGGCCCAACCTACGTGTACTTACGTACGATCAGACCGCAGAGTTTTTTTGACCACAAAAAAGGGGGACGAGGACTGTCAGAAAATCCTCCACTTTACCTGAGACCGGGTTTTTTTTCTCCACTGGATGTTCGCTGCCAGACTGTTCTACTTGATGCAGAATGGGAAGGATCCATATTCTGCAGCAAGTAAACTTTAAAGAAAGTTTAAAAAGTATGGCAGAGAAAATCCTCCACCTTACATGGGATCAGTTTTTTTTTCTCAACTCCCTTTGGCTGTTCGCTGCCAGACTGTCTGGCAGCAAAAAGCCAAGCAGAGAGGAGAAAATCCTCCTTATGTGGGATGGGAGGGTTTTTCTCTGCTCTCCAAGGCTTTTCGCTGCCAGACTGTTTTACTTGATGCAGCAGAATGAGAAGGATCCACATTCTGCAGCAAGTAAATTTTTAAAAAAGTTTTAAAAGTATGGCAGAGAAAATCCTCCACCTTACATGGGATCAGACTTTTTTTCTCCACTTCCTTTGGCTGTTCGCTGCCACACTGGCAGCAAAAAGCCGAGAGAGGAGAAAATGCTCCCCTTACATGGGATGGGGGTGGGTTTCTCTGCTCTCCAAGGCTTTTTGCTGCCAGCAAGTAAACTTTGAAAACTTGACCAAAAAAACCCCCGGAAAAAAGTGATAAAGTACAGGTAGTCCTCACCCCCCCTTTAATATCATCTCTTCTCTCAGCCCCCTTTAATATCCTCTCTTCGGTCACCCCCTTTAATATCATCTCTCCCGTTCAGCAGGACCCAGGCAATGCGTCGCGCAGCTCCAGCTGAATCTAAGCCTGAAGACTGCATGAGGCTGCTTGCCATCCCCAAGGCCACCGCCAATCAGCTGGAGCTGCACACATTGATCCTGGGCTCTCAGTAGGACCCAGGCAATGTGCAGTTCCAGCTGACTTTCCCACAAGCCTGTGCAGCGCTGCTGCTGCTTCACCTCATCCACTTTTACACTTTTTTTTACATTTTATGGTGCTGTTCAACCTGTCGTACGCGTACCACCTGCCAGGTGCCAATGTACCACTCGTGGTACGTGTACCACTGGTTGAAAAGCCCTGCATTAGGCCACCACCCAGACCTGCACACCCGCCCAGCACGAGGTGAAGCGGTCAGCTAGGAAGCCCCACTTAGAGGTGGTAGAGCACGCCCAGGGCTAGCAGGCAAAAGGCCACCCTGAGCAGGGAAAGCCGGATCCCCATCGGCGTCATGGTCTCCCAGGCCCAGCAGAGATGGGGGGAGGCACATAAACTTAGCTGGGGGGCCATGGCGCCGATGGAGATCCGGGTTTCCCCGCTTGGGGTGGCCTTTGGCTTGCTGGGCGTGGGCGTGCTCTACCACCTCTACTCGAGCTTGCTAGCCGGCCGTTTCACCTCCTTTATGCTGGGCGGGCCAGGTGCTCCAGGCAGCGATGGACCTGCATGAGCTGTTGGCGCCGGTGGCCCGAGCCAGGGCTAAGGTGTGTCGGGTGTGTGTGGGGAACAGGTTCCACATGCGGGCCAAGGGCAAGATCTGCGAGGGGGCTGAGGACATGACTAGCAGCAACCTGCTCTCCAACCGCAAGCAAAAACAGATGGGACGGAGTAGGCGCATCTGGTGATCTGCATCACGCGCTTCCCCCTCCCCTACTCCGCTTGCTGCTGGAGGACTGGCCTGGTATTGGCAGTGGGCTGCAGAGCCCCAGAGTGCAGCGGTCGAGGGGCGGGCAATCATTGGCTGCTGATGGACACTGTTGGCCCCCATGCGCTCGCTGTGTGCGGGGGTCGATGGTGCCAGGTAGCAGCCAGCCCCTGCCTTGCCTTGCAGCAATGACACCCCCGCCCTGCCCCTTGCCTCGCTTCACCCCACAGGACAAGCCTCCTGCCCACCATCCCACCCGCCAGAGACCCCCTAGATCTCCCCCAACCCTGCCCGGCCCCCACAGGCATCCCTCCCCATGAGCAACATCAAAGTGGCCACGCCCAACCAGTCTGCCATGATCACTGCAGCCATGCCCATCCAGTGGCCACACCCACCCAGACTGCCATGACCACCCTGGCCACACCCACCCAGTCTGCCACGCCCACCGTAGCTGCGCCCGCCGAGTGGGCCATGCCCACCCGGCACCCGGCGATACAAAGTGGGTTTTGGGTTGCAGTTTGGGCACTCGGTCTCTAAAAGGTTCGCCATCCCTGTGCTATTTCATATATTGGAAAGAACTACAACAGTTTTTAATAGAGCAGCTGCACTACATTCTGGATATCCCAATTCTCATGGTAATTACATCTGTGCATGATGTAACAAGTCTTCTTTTTTAGGTTGTTTTGACTAGTCAGTTTATTGTTCCTTTTCAGGGGGTGAGCAAGGAGATTCCAGACTCGATGAACTGAAATGTCTGAGAAGTCAAGCCAGAGCACAAAAGCAAAGGACGGGAAAACAAAGTATGCAACACTTAGTTTATTCAATACATATAAAGGAAAGACTCTGGAAACACAGAAAACTACAGGTATTTTTGTTAAAATTGAACATTTCCTACCCATTTATTAGGTCTTACTCAGATATAATTTTGTTTTGTGCAGAAATATCAAAGCTTAAGGCATTTTAACTTCAGATTTTCAATTTTGTAACCTAGTTACCTTTATTAATTTATGTGCTTGACAGTGTTATAGTCAGTATTCATATATTTTTAAATAATGTTACTAAAAGGACTATCGCTGAAAAGGCTTCTGGCAAGATTGTATATAAGTGTGCTAAGTGTTTTGTTAATCTGGCATTCAGTCCATGAATTTCATCTTCCAGCTCTTAAATATTTGTGTTTGATTTGTATAAATTTTATTACATTGTTCAATGTTATGTATATTTTAATGAAAAACAGTTTGCATCCATAATAAATAATATATGTGTATTTGAACAACAAATTCACAGTGTATACAAGTTCCATAAGCAAAATAGAACTAATTTAGAACTAATAAAAATAGAACTAATTTATGCTTGATTTAGGAAACAAAGTTCACTCTATAAATCTTACAGCTTAACATTAGACTTTAATGATGTTTTGTATTGTTTACTATTTGTTTAAATAAGACTACAGAAGAATAACCAGATATTTAACATGCTATATTCACTTGTCCCTATATTAATTTGGAAACCAAGAGTTATATTTTGCTCCTTCACCATTTGCAAATAAGTGAGAGGGCAGTAATTTGTTCCCAGTTTTTCAATGGCCAGAAATACTGTATAACTTTTAATAGTATTTTGTCAGGAATTATTCTTTTTGTTTCCAAGAAAAAAGGATGCGTAGAAACATGAATATATATTAACAGTTCACACTCTTTTTCTTGCATAGTTACAACTCGTCATGGATTACAAAGTCTTGGGAAAGTTGCCATTTCACGGAGAATGCCCCCTCCAGCTAACCTCCCTAGTCTTAAAGCAGAAAACAAAGGCAATGATCCCAATATAAACATTGTGCCTAAGGATGGCACAGGTTGGGCTTCTAAACAAGAACAGCATGAGGAAGAAAAGTAAGTTGCACTACAAATCATCCTTCCTTTTACTAATGTAATGTTTTAGCATATGCTACAGGAGTGTTAACAGAACACAACAGGTAGTCCTTGCTTAACAACCATTCATTCAATGACCACATGAAGTTACAATATCAATGAACCAATAGTAGTTATGGTTGGTCCTTGAAGTTGTGGCATCCCTGCAATCACATCGTAAGAATTTGGATGCTTGGCAGCCTGCCTAAATTTACAAATGCAACGCAAATCTCAACTCCTCCATCTGCCTGACTCCCTCCCGTATCCCACCTTTTGGCTATCCTGCCTCCATTGCTGCTGCCTATCTCTACTGCCCACCCCTCATCCCCCCAGCTGATCTTCACCGCCTTCTTCCTCCTGCTGAGGAAGGGCAGCTGATGGCCCTTCACAAGGCTCATTATTAATTATTAGTAATAACATTAATTATACATTTTATAAGAATTTCATGCAAATATAAGCACTTTAGTTTTCTGATAATTTATTACTCATATTTCCTCTAAGTAAAATATCAAATCCCTCAATTTCATTCTCATCCCCATTTGGGAGATAGATATATTGTCTGCATATAAAAGCGGAACTATGCAGCCTGCTAATACAGGGCATGATGAGTGAAAACAGAGAAGCCCTGTCATGTCAAATAAGTATTTTTTTAAAACAGATTTTATTGGTTTTCCAGTTTTACATTTGAGTGCTTGGAAAGCAGCGTGGTGACTGGGCAGTCAATAGTTCAATAACAAAGTCTCTAGTACATATCTCAAGTTGCATTATCAAAAATGCCTTCTCTATTTCCCTTAAAATTCAATGTATCATACTTAAATTAGTAAATTTCTAACCATGGCAAACTCAATTAACACATTTATCAATATATTTTGTGTTTATACATATCCATATCCTGTTTTAAGTTTTAGCTATTTTTTCATTTTTAATTACAGTATTCCAATGTACTTTTAACATCCATTGTATTTAAAGTCCTGGTAACCCAAATTTCTTTTATTTCACTACGCAAAAGTTATAATATCTAAAATACACATATTACTTACTTAAATATAATCACATTCTATTTGATATAGATTTTCTATTTCTTGTTCTAGTACATCACTACTTACAAATAGAGTAACCTTTATTATCTCAAATCCATCATCTATATTTTCTGGGCTAAAGAATAATTCAAGGCTGATTCCTAATAGTTGTTTTCAATTTCCCTTATAAATCTAAGTCCTAAATATTAAATCAGTTAGTCCTTTATTTTTTATCATTTTCCAGAATATTTAAATCTAATAATCATTTCCCTTCATCTCAAAATCTCCCTTTAGCCCATTAAGACTTTAAAATCCTCTCTAATAAATCAGAAGACCCCATTTTTTAAAACCTAGCTTTCTTTTTGTGCCAGCCAGGCTTCCATGCCAATGCCTTTAAATCATCAGATAGATCTCCCTTCATTCCTGCACGTGTTGCTTGAATCAAAGGAGACCATCTAGTCATCAATTTTCCAGAGGAGTTGGCCCATTTATAATCATTAAATTGTTGTCCTGGTGGGTCAGCTCTCCATATTTGCTCTAATATCTTTATCTTCAATTTGGTCTGGTCTTCTTCTTCCTCAGGTTTCTTCTGATTTAAGTAAAAGGTCATGTCCAGTTTTGTAGTTGTTGTTTGGTTATCTAAGTTTTCAATATGCTGTCCTTGTTGATCTTTAACACACTCTATCTTGGTATTGCTTTCTTCCGCTTCCATTACTTTTTGGGTTGTAGGTTCTTTAGTTACAGTCAGGGTTTGGTTATGAGCATTTTCAATATATTGTAGTTGCTGTTCTTCAAGATCCTCTCTCTTGTGATTAATTTCTTCCGCTTCTATTGTTTTCTGAGTTGTAAGTTCTTCAGTTGGACTCTGGGTTTCAATTTGTAGATTCAAGCTGGCGCCTTTGTCTTTCAGTCTGGATTTAATTATCAGTAGCTTCAAGAATTTTTTCAAGTATAAGTTTATAGTTAATCGAGGTTTGATGCTGGTCCTCCATTTCGGAAGTAGTTATAGGTATTCCTTTAGTGGAGGCTGTTTTGAAGCATTGATATGAGTCCATTCTGGAGTATTTCATCCTTGATTAAACTTACTAGATTTTGTGGCAGCATCAGATCATTTTTTGTTTGCTTTATAGGTTTGTTCACTTCCACCATGAAAAAATAAATAAATGAAAATTGAAATTAGATGTTAGATGTTATCTCTCTTTGTGCTAAGAACAGTTTGTATCATATAGTTAAAATTATATGATGCAAACTATTTCATGCAAATCCTGATAAGCTTTCTTGAAGTTCATCCCTTTTATTTTGTATTAAAACTTTAGAAATAAGATTGTTGGTAGAAATTCTACTAAGAGAAGTATTGGGAACTGCATTCATAAATGTGTCTATGTATTCATATACTGTTGTTCTGCTGTTACCATAGAAGCTTTCTTTAATGATTTGAAGATTTGAATTATACGTTAAAATATGGTTTGCAGTCATTATGTGAGCCATTTTCTCTCAGACATTTTCAAATTTTTCTTTTTTAGACAAGCGGAAGTACCACAGGTGCAGCCAAAACCTGCAGTTCCTGCTCCTCCTGAAGCTCCTCCTGTTGTCAAATCATGGGCTAATACCAAACAGGGTGGACAGGGTGATGGTAAGTGGAGGAAAGATGGACCAATCTAGCTGAGCCACTGCACTCTAAGACTCATTTATTTATTTCATTTTCTTGTTTATTTGGGTAGTATTAGAGATGTAGTAGGATCATTATTATTTTTTTTGAAAGATGGAGCATAGCATTGAAATTTCAAGTGTGTAGCAGTTGCCTTCTGAAGAAAAACCTAGGGGAGACTATTTGAAATCAAAGGGTGAGAAGGTAGTATTTATACAGCACAATTTTGCTAAAGTGAAAATTGTTTTATGGGGGGAAAAGTACACTAAAATGCTTGTATGCGCTGGTTTTGGGAGGTCTATGCCTGATCAAAATATGTTCCTGACAAAAGTAGTTTGGAGGTAGAAGCCAGAAAAAAAAGAACCAAGGTCATTGATGACAGTAGCTGAGAAGAAGGAAAACACTTAGAAGATTGGGGACCAATTTGGCTGGGGAGTATGTTGCATTGGGGGAGAGAGGAAAGAAGCTTGGAAGCTCAGACCAGTGAGTTATGCTGTGGTGAGAGCTGCTGTGGAGAAGGAGGGAATTAAAAGATAACTTCATTCCCTCAGTTTGCTTTATACTTGCTTTGTCCAGACTCTGATTACTCTCAAACACCAAAGAGGTGATATTGCCAAAGTGATGATCTAAAACTATTTGGAATAACTTTTAGAAAGGATTTTGCTCCAGATATAAACAAAAACATTTTTTTTCTGTTTCGTGCACTCTCCCCGGGCCAGAGCTATAAGGGATTCAATCCTCTTGGGTGTGTGATCTGTGTCTAAAGAGTTGATGCAAAAATTGAAGGATGCTAAGGGAAAAAAAACTATTTTGGGCATTATGTCCTGTATATGTGTTATTGTTTGTTTATAAGTATGACTGCTGCTGCTGCTGCTTCTGTGGCTTTGAGGGAGAGTAAAGAGAGAACAGTTCCTCTAGCTTACAGGGGGAAGTATGAAGCTGGGGAGGGATTTGTCAAATAAGGAAATGTCAAGTTACATGTATGAAAGTTACTTTTTATGTTGAGTCTTCCATCTTGCAAAATTTTAGACTTACTGGCCAGTCTACATTTTGGTCTTACAATGCTGATTTTAAATTCCAAGTTGGATTTCTAATAGCATGATTGTGAATGAGACAGCTAATCCAGTGGGCTTAGTGTAATTGATCTCATCCAGCTATCTCCCTGTGGGTAATTGATCCAACTTATAGTGGGTCTTCAACTTTTTGAATCCTTTTGAATGTTCAGTATTTTGGTATAAATATGACCTAAACATGATCTGTTCTCTACATATCTCTTAAAACTAATTAGAAAACCCAATTAAATAAGTCAAAAACATTTAATTTGTTCATTTTTTATTGAGAAAAATGATCCAAAGCTACACATTAAAGGCATAAAACTATATTTACAAATAGTATAAGAGTCACCTCTAGGCAAGATGGTCAGCATGCATACATACATCATCCATACATACATACATACATACATACATACATACATACATACATACTGCAAGCAATTCTGGTCGCCATGATACCAAAAAGATACTGAGACCCTAAAAAGAGTGCAGAGAAGAACAACAAAGGTGATAAGGGGTTTGGAGGTTAAATCATACAATGAACAGCTAAGGCAGTGGTGGCAAACCTATGGCACAGGTGCCAGAGGTGGCACTCAGAGCCCTCTCTGGGCACGCACGCCATCGCCCCAGTCCTAGGTCCCTTCAGCTGGGTTTTATAAAACCTTTTTGCTTTAGGCCTCCGATGCCATGTGCAGCAAAAAAAAAAAAAGGTTCAATCAGTCAATTTCAATTTCTTGCGGGAAAAAAAAGATCTTGCAGAGTTGGAATTGATTGATTGAACTTAAAGTCCCACCCAGTCTACTGTTACCACCGCAGCCACGCCCACCCAATGGGCCACACACCCCAAATTGGCCACACCCAGCCAATGGGCCACACCCACCCAGCACCCGGCGATGCATAAGTGGGTTTTGGGTTGCAGTTTGGGCACTCAGTCTCTAAAAGGTTCGCCATCACTGAGCTAAGGCAACTAGGAATGTTTAGCTTAACAAAAGAAGGATTGGGGTGACATAGCTGTCAGCTTGCCTGCTGCAGATTTTGAAAAAAAGATTGAATAACATTTTGTCTAGGAGGGAATAAGGATTTACACCTTGGGCAGGGAGTTGGACTAGAAGATTTCCAAAGTTCCTTCTAGCCCTATTATTCTGTGTTTCTACATCTTCTGAAGTAATTTGAATTATTATAGAATATATTTGTTGTTTAAATATAAGAATAAAAGAACATTATATGCAGTAGTGATTTGAGTTTTTAAAATAACTTTCAGGTCCTGGAGTTCAAATAAATAGTTATTTCCAGCAAGAGTTTCCTAGTTTGCAGGCAGCTGGAGATCAAGAAAAGGAAAATAAAGAAAAGGATGCGCCAGAAGAACCTTACGGTCCTGGGCCAAGTTTGCGTCCACAAAGTAGGTGTGCATAAAATAGCCTAAGATTGGTGTGGTTGTGGAGCTCCTGATTAGTTTTTTATCTTGGGGAGTGCAGTTTCTGTTCAGGGTTATGTGGTTTTTAGTCTGTTTTTTTATCGATGTACTAGACCAGTGGTTCTCAACCTTTTTAATGCCGCGACCCCAACCAGTCGTAAGTCGAGGACTAAACCGGTCGTAAGTCAAGGACTAAACCGGTCATAAGTCAAGGACTACCCAACCGGTCGTAAGTCAAGGACTTTCCCTGCCCGGGAGCGCCGCGCATGCGCGGTTCCGCCCCCTGCGCCGGCCGAGGCGTAGCTGGCAAGCAGCAGAGACGGAGCAGGCCGACCACCAGCTGGCCCAGCCCAAGGGAGGTAAGGCACCCGCCGGAAAAGGGGAAAAAAATGGCGGACAGCCTTGCTTGGCGACCCCCGTGAAATGGTCGATCGACCCCAAATGGGGTCCCGACCCACAGGTTGAGAACCACTGTGCTAGACTTACCAAGTTGTCTTAGACTTGAGCAGCCTTAACAAATCTAATAACTAAATTTAAAAGTTCTTCATAGAATTCAGTGTTCATTCACATTTGATTCATGTCAAAATTAATTTGCAAATAATATCCTGGGATGATGTATCTATCTAGGATTAAGGAAATTAATCCATTTGCTGTCATTAATTGAAACCTCATCTACAAATTAACATTGCCTCTTTTATTTTCAGTTACTTACTAAATTATTAAGAGATACTCAGTTGATCACATTCCCTGTTCTGAGTAGTAGGTTTGATTATCATTTTGGTTGCAGTGGTTGATGGTTTTTTTTTTTAATACAAAATAAGCCAAATTGGCAAAGATGAACAAGGACAACTTATTATTGTGTTTCCCCGAAGTAAGCCTCAGCTGATTTTTGGGGGGTGGGCCTAATGTAAGCCCTCCCCCCGAAAGTAAGCCCTACTTAAGGGCCTGCACGGCCTGCCTGCCTGTGAAGAGGCAAAGCCGATGGGGGAGGGGGGAATCTGACCCATGGTACCTGTATACCTTAGGGCCACCCGGCTTGTTCCGCAGCCTCGTGGCAGCGGCATTGGGCAGGAGGTGGCAAACGGCTGGTTTCGTTGCAACATGGCTGTTTGATGCTGGCTGTGGCCATTTGACACCTCGGGCATCGCACCCAATGCCGCTGCCATGAGGCCTGGCCGATCCTCCCCCCTTCTGACCGATGTTCCATTATACCGGTTTCCTACCGCCGCCCGGCTTGTTCTGCGGCCTCATGGCAGCGGCATTGAGCAGGAGGCGGCAAACGGCTGGTTTCGGCACAACACAGCCATTTGCCATGTCGCGACCAATGCCGCTGACAGGCCTACCATACGTTACTCTAACCCCCACTGCCGCCCCAACCCAACTGGGAGATGGGAAACCCTGGGGAAAAAACAGAAAAACATTTCTCCTTCGCAATCCACCGCCACCACATGCAGGGAAACAAAGGACTTTTTTTGAGGGGGAAAAAAGATCAATCAATTCCAACTTCACGAGATTTTTTTTTCGCAAGAAGTTGGAATTGATTGATTGACTTTTTTTTCCCTCCCAAAAAACTTCCTTTGTTTCCCTGCACGCGACAACGGCGGATTGCGAAGGAGAAACGGCAGGGGGCTGGGAGTCAGGTAAGCAAAGAAAGGCAATTCCTGGGGGGAGCGAGGATTTCTTTCCTTATCTGCCCCACTTGTTCTGAGGCTGCTTTCAGCCAAGCCACGTTGCGCTCGCCAATGGCCCACCCGCCCTTCCTCCCCGAGCCTCCAGCACTCTGCCTGCTGCTTTGGTCAGCCTGGTAGTCCCCACTTTAGCACCCTGCCCGGGGCTGCAGGGGCTGGCCTGGCACGGGAAGGGCACGCGCCCCACTCTCCTACCACCGCACAGGATAAGGTTGCCGCACCCGCCCCAACCAGATGCCCTTACCTCCCCCAAGCGTTTTTTTACTAATCTGCCTTTCAGCTACATTGCGTTTCTCTATTTGCTTCTCAGCCATCGCCACGTGTTTGTGGGACTGCCGGTAAAAACAAAAAATTCAATCAGACTTTCTAACTTCTCGCGAGGTCTCAAGAAGTTAGAAAGTCTGATTGAACTTTTTTTTTTACTGGTAGTCCCACAAACACGTGGCGAAGGCTGAGAAGTGAACGGAGAAATGCAATGCAGCTGAAAGGCAGGTTAGTAAAAAAAATGCTTCGGGGAGGCGAGGGCATCTGGGCAGGGGTGGTAACCTTACCCTGCGCAGCTTTGGCAGGTGTCTGGCAGGCGGAGGGAAGCAACTCCGCCACCACCCCATGGCAACCTTATCCTGCATGGCGGGTGTCTGGCAGGCGGAGGGAAGCAACTGATCCACCACCATGCTCTCGCTGCCGCGTTGCTTCTCCACCCCATGCACAGGCCCCACCCCCACGCACTCACGGCCTACTGGTGCAGGTACTGGCAAAAAGTAAGCCCTCCCCGAAAGTAAAACCTAGTGCTTACTTTAGAGCCCAAAAAAAGTAAGACATGGTCTTACTTTCGGGAAAACATGGTAATTATCTGAACTTTTACAACCTAAATAACGTAACCTATCTATGGCACAATTTGTTCAGACTTCATATCAAACAATAGTTTGTGTTCTTGTGTTCTTTGACTGAAAAGATTTAAAAATGTAAAATGTAGTCTGGAATACATCTGTTTTCAAATTTTCAAATATGCAGGCTTAAAGGCCTTCAGATGTGGAACAATGCCTATAATGCTTGTCAGATAAAAGGAGTGAACAAAAGATGGCTCTAGAACAGGGCTTTTCAACCTTTTCACCCATTGTACCACTTTTAGGATATGTCAACATCCGAGTACCATCAGTCGCCTAGCAAGGTGTCAAAAACTTGATGACCCCCCCCAAAAAAGGAAAAAAGTGATAAAGTACAGGTAGTCCTCGACTTACAGCAGTTCGCTTAGTGACTGTTCGAAGTTACAATGGCACTGAAAAAAGTGCCCCCAAAGCCACAGCCGAGCAAGACACCTGCCTGCCCGCCCAGCGGTACTCTTCCTCCTGTCCGAGGTTTCCATTGTTGTGAGCATTTCTGTTGAGGATTGGGAGCAGGGGTGGGATGGGGGGTGTTTTGATTTTTATTCCCCCCGTCTGCTGGGTGGTTGCAGCAGGTTTGGGTCACTTCACATGACCCTGGGACACTGTGACCGTCATAAATATGAATCAGTTGCCACGCATCTGAATGTAAATCACAAGACCCTGGAGAGGCTGCAACATTCCAGCTGATCAGCACTTCTGGGCTCAGCGGAAGCGCCAGGATCAGTGCCGCTTTCCAGCTGATTGGTGCTTCTTCAGGGCTCAGCAGAAGCACCAGGATCAGTGCCAAGCTCCAGCTGGAGCCTGGCGCTTCCACTGAGCCCTGACAGCCCCAAAGAAGTGCTGATCAGCTGGAAAGCGACACTGATCCAGGCGCTTCCGCTGAGCCCTGACAGCCCTGCAGCTCCAGCCATCTCTCAGGCTTGTGCGATGCTGCCACCGGTTCAGCTCATTCCCCTCCCCCGCTACCACTTTTCTAGGATGGTCGCGTACCACCTGCCAGGTGCCAATGTACCACAGGTGGTACCTGTACCACTGGTTGAAAAGCCCTGCTCTAGAAGTACTGATAGATAAGTAGCGGTTAGTACTACAGGTGGCCCTTGACTTAACAATGGCAACTGGGACCAGAATTTCCATTATTAACTAATGTGGTCATAAAGTATAATTGCATGGCTTAGTAATGGCAGTCCCTGCAGTCCTAGTTGCTGATGTTGACTGAATCCAATAGTTGTTAGGCAAAGTAACGTCCTACCCGCTTCCCACAACCAAAGTCAATGGGGAAGTCAGCAGCATGTTGCAAGACCCAGGCCAGCAGGTAGGTAGGTGGCTAGTGCTTGATGGGAGAGGGAGTGAGGGGTGTGCATGGATTTGGGGGAAACATAGCAAGTGTGCAAGTTGGGGAGCGCAGGGGTTGGTGGATCAGGGAGGGAGCCCAAGGGTCCAGCATAGGTCTGAGGGAGTGCACTTTGAAGGATGCACTTTGGGAGTGTGTAAGTGGCCAGTGCTGCCCGGGTGGGAGAGAGTTACTTTAGCAACGTGTGACCTTCCCTGCTGGTTTCCCTATTCACTTTCTGGACAAGCTGGCGGGGAAGGTTGCAAAGAGCACTCATAATCATAGGAGGCTGGAACTGGTCATTAATAAGCTGCAGATAACTGGCAAATCAGTTTAGTCTACTTGTTAAGGCACCAGATTAGAAACCTGGACACCGTGAGTTCTAGTCATGCTTTACACATGAAAACCAGCCGGGTGACTTAGCCCAACTCACAGGGTTGTTGTGGGGAAAATAGGAAGGAATATTAGGTATGTTCACTGTGTTGAATAAATTATAAAAATAATAAAGATGGGATATAAATAAATAATTGCAAACTGGTTGCCAAGCACCCACATTGCAGTCATGCGATCATGGAGATGCTGAGAAAGCTGGAACTCTGAGGACAGGTCATAATCACCATTCATTCAGTACCATTGCAATTTTGAACAGTTACTGAACAAGTGGTCATAGGTTGAGGACTACTGTACATTAGCAAAGATTTTTGGTTTCCGGCTTTCTGAGGACTGAGGACGCAGAGTCATATTGGGAAAGTGCACTGCATAATACTAGGGATTTCCAAAACGGAGATGCTCCAAAAAATACTGATAGATACCTAGTATGATGAGGCAACCCCTTTTTGTAAAGTCTGATCCTACCCTTTATAGTGGTCAAGCAGAACGAACAGTCACACAGATTATTTCAGTTTTTCATTGAGCAATTGTCTAGGTCAGAGGTGTCAAACTAGCAACGTCACGTGACATGTCGCGACTTGTATCGCGATTTTTTTGCCATTGCCGGCAAAGGGGTGGGCGCGGTTTCGCTATGATGCATCCGGCCCGTGGGCCGCAGTTTGACACCCCTGGTCTAGGTTATATGGCTTCAGTTTGGGCTGCTTCAACTCTTTTCAGGCAGGAGAAGGGTGGTTTCGAGAAGAGGAAAATAAAACTGGTTACTATATTAGTACAGCACTTCAGATTTTGATGTTCCCTTTTCCAATGCAGATGTTGCTAGCTGGAGAGAAGGCGGAGGCAGAAGTTTAAACTCCCCAAACTCTCCAACTGATCAAGAAGCAAAACCTCTTATTCAAGAAGAGGGTAATATGCCTGGACCAGCAGAACAAAAGGATGTCCTTAAGGTACCAGAGAAGAAAGAGATACGGATAGCACCACCTCCCCCACCTAAGATGAATGGCCAGCAACAGCCAGGGATCCTTCCTCAGTATAGAGGGATGGTACCACCACATGTAAGTCCAATGGATCAAATTCTTTCAAAATTTCTTTCACTCGCCAGGAGTCAGGTCATAAAGAGAGTGGAATGAATGTGATGGACAAATTATTCCTACACAGCAGGTAGCAGTATGGCCTGTTTGCTAGTAAGTCTCTTCCATTTCTGGTGTGGATTTAGATTACACTTAAGCAATAGACAAGGTGAAACAATAATAATCCTTTTTAAGAATCTTACAAAACATGAAATTTTGAGAAAGAGTTTTCATAGCCTGAGAATTCAAAAAGTATCTTTTGGTTTGTGACCAGATCAATTAAAGCACCTGGGGCACGCGTGAAACAAAGCACTACTCTTCCCCCCCCCCCAGAACAGAGCATCTCCCTTTCCCCTGAACTTTCCAAATTAGCTCATTCCAAAGGGAAAAAAACTCAAACAAAACTCAAATCTTTTCAAATTTCTGGTCATCAGAAATAATGGGAAATCAGAACAAGTTCCTTGCTCCCTATTTTTTACCCAAGACCACTAGTACAGATAGATGCTGATTTTTGCTACAATTTAACCAAGTAGAAGCAAAAAAAGTAAAACAAACAAACAAAAAAATATATACCTTAAAGTCCCAAACAGCTTTGATAGGAGAGAAAACTCAACATTCTTAGTGCAGATTAATTAATCTTCAATTAGCAGTTATTCAGCTTCTAATAACAAATAACATTTAGCAGCTCTAAGACTGAACCCCCAGCTAACGAAGCAACACCATTGCACTTCCATTGCTATGATACTACAGGATTTCTTTAAATGTTTATGAACATTTCATTGCAGGATGGGAAGAACTTGTGCTGGTTTCAAAACTGGACTGTTCCTGCTTAATTGCGTGGATAGTGTGGATTACCATTACACAACAAATAAAAAAGTGCCAGTACACTCCACTCCTACTATTTTACGAGGCTCTGCTTTCAATAGTATCATTTATACCAGCGGTCCCAACCCTTTCTGGCACCAGGGACCAGTTTCAAAAAAAATATTGTCTTCCACGGACTGGGGCGGGGGGATGGTTTTGCTCACAATTTAGATCCCACACATGTGCAGATGAAGCTTCACTCGCATGCCCGTCACTTACCAGCCCAGTTCCTAACATACCGCTCCGCAGCCTGGGGGGGTTGGGGAGCTCTGATTTATACTATATGAGCAGAAAGTATTAATTCTATCCATACAATCAGTAATCAAGCCAATGCATTTTTTCATTTTTCTAAAAGCTCCTTGAGGCTGACAACAGTATGATATAAGAGGCATACACCAACAGACTTGGAACACAGAAGCTTGTCCCACTCGCCCCTCTAGACACTACACATTAAAAACTGAAGAATTTTTAACTCAGTAATAGAATTAAAAATCATTGAATCATTGGGGAGGAATTTTCAGGGGAGTTGGGGCTGAAATTTTGGAAAAATTGAAATAAATACATAAATGTGTGAACTGCCTTCAAAATGACCATTGTTTTGAGACTAAGTATAGGACAGAATGGATTCTCCAGCTACTAGATCAGAAATAAGCCAGTCCATTTTTTTCCACATCTTTTTATTTCTACTCAAGAACAAAGTCCTTTTATCTTTAAATTTTGTTTTTGTCTTAATTGCCATAGTTTGCTTTAAACGTTTGTTAAGAAAATAGAGCATGCTGTTTTGGATAGATTGATTGCTTATTATGATTGGCTACATGAGATGTCAGAAATGTTCTTCAGGTGTATTAGTTGCAGAAACTAGCAAATTCAGACTATTGTACCTTAGCTTTATATTCTAAGATGTGAATAATTATTTTGCTTATGCAGGTATTCTCCGTGTTCCTTTCCTGGTTGACTGAGCATTTATAGAAATATTTCAATTAATCATACTTTTGCAAAGCACTTTACTGGACAAAACAAGTCAGGAAACTAATCAAACTTCAGAACTGACAAAAATACAAAATCAGATTCATAGTGTGGTTTAACATCCTGACATCTTAAACCGTTGATTTCATTTACATTGGGAACTTATGATATATCAATGTCTTCTGATTCAACTGGAAATGTGAAGGCTGACCAAAGGGACTGTATGTGCTAACAAATTGTTAATATTATCTCCTCTTACTGAGCTAATTTGCAGTTGTTTAAATATAGCCATACATTTTATGAAATATAAATAGATCTGAGTGAAATGTAAAATGCATGTTTATAAGAGCCATCACATTTTAAGATGATATACTTCTGCATAATTTTGCTATGTAAATTAGTAAATTTACATTAAATTCCTTTTTAGTTTTAAAAACTTACAGTAAGGGAAAAAATTATTTGATCCCCTGCTGATTTTGTACGTTTGCCAATTGACAAAAAAAATGATCAGTCTATAATTTCAATTGTAGGTTTATTTTACCAGTGAGAATAACAACAAGAAAAACCAGAAAAACGCATTTCAAAAAAGTTATAAATTTATTTGCATTTTAATGAGTGAAATAAGTATTTGACCCCTACATAAAACATGACTTAGTACTTGGTGGCAAAACCCTTGTTGGCAATCACAGAGGTCAGACGTTTCTTGTAATTGGCCACCAGGTTTGCACACATCTCAGGAGGGATTTTGTCCCACTCCTCTTTGCAGATCCTCTCCAAGTCATTAAGGTTTCGAGGCTGATGTTTGGCAACTCGAACCCTCAGCTCCCTCCGCAGATTTTCTATGGGATTAAGGTCTGGAGACTGACCTTAATGTGCTTCTTCTTGAACCATTCCTTTTTGTTGTTGTTGTTGTTGTTATTATTATTATTATATTTTTTATTGATTTTTTACACAAACATAGGTCATTCAATAGTTGGTAAACAGTGTGATGTCTGGATTACATTTGTAAAAACAGTCCTTAACAATTACTTTCTATAGTCTGTATTTCATATATTAATTTTGTTTACTTTCCTCTTTCCCTGAAACATCCTTTTTTGCAAACATTGCGTTAATACAATTCTTATTGTTTTAATAAATGACAATTTAGTATATATTTTTTCCAATATTCCTAAAGAATAATCATCATATTAATACATTTCTTTTCTTTCCATTCATTTGGATTGCCTTATCATCAATCCTGTTACAATCCTTATTTTAGTTTATTTCTCCCACCAAATTCTTAAGTATTTTTACTGGTAGCAATTAGTTACATTTACATTGACAGACTTGATTCTATTTTTTCCTTATAAGCCATCTCACATTTTTATGTTTCTTAAGTATTAAATATAAGAATAAAAAGAGGAAAAAAGAAAAAGAATGAAAAAAAATTTATAAAAAAATAAAAAAGAATAGAAGAAAGCAGTAATAACAGAACAGAGAAAATAACATAGTACTTAGAATATATATCCCTCCTAGATTAGTAGTATTTATTTTCTCAAATTTCTTATTCTTTTTAATCATAGTTAAGAATATATTTAATCTTTAAACATTATATTCAATAAATCTAATCATCTAATCCCTTAACTCTAATTCAAAACATTTTATATGTATTATATATACTTTTCTTGAGTTCAGTCACCTTTAAATATCTAAAACATTTCATCCTTCTTAAAGTGTTCCAATATTCCTAAACAATCATCATCATATTAATACATTTCTTTTCTTTAAAAAAAAAAAAGAGAGGAAAGCAGTAATAACAGAACATAAGAAATAATATAGTACTTAGAATATATATCCCTCCTAGATTAATAGTATTTATTTTCTCAAATTTCTTATTCTTTTTAATCATAGTTAAGAATATATTTAATCTTTAGACATTCTATTCAAATAAATCTAGTCATCTAATCCCTTAACTCTAATTCACTTATATATATATATGTACTTTTCTTGAATTCAGTCATGTTTAAGTATCTAAAACATTTCATCCCTCTTAGAATGGTGTGTTTCAAATTTTTTCTATTTCTTTAACCATATTCAAACACATGTTTCTTTTTTAAATATTCTCTCTGATATGTCCCATCCTCTTTTTTCTTAATCTCTTTTCTTTGCCCAGAATCTTTCTTGATCAATATACTTTGCTGGATCCAAAGGTTTTCCCATACGATCGTAGGTGTTCCTGTAGATATAGAAAGTGAATCAATATCTCTGTCCTGAGCACTTGCACTCTTCTTTCCATTAAAGTCCCTTCTCTTATCTTCCAATTTGTTTTGTGATGTTGAAGTATAAGTTGTCTTTCCTTCCACTTGAATTAAATCATACTTTTTTATTTTGTAAAGGTCCATCTTTAAGTCTTTTCCCTCTGATTTATATTCCATCATCTGTGCTGTGTTCTCCTGAGGATTTTTTTGAAGTGAACTTAAATTGGAGATGAGTTGACTTATACTTTCAAAGTTGTTTTGTATTTCTTTGTGGTTTAAAATCATTGTCCTTTGAATGGATTACAGCATATCGTATATTTCCTCTTGTAAAACATCCATTGTTTCTATTAATATCACTTTCTCTAAGCAGCTGTATTTACTAAGGTTTTGAAAGCCACAAACAAAAGCTTTATAGCTCCTCATCCACCAGTAGGTATCAGTGTTGGATCATTTTTCAATTTTCTTTTTCTCCTTAAAGAGTTAGATTCGCCGCTTCCAATAGCCAAAAAGGGGGGAAGAATCCCTCCCCTTTTTTCACTCTCGGAGGTATTTTTGTTTCTTGGGAGTTCTTTTTTTTTCCAGGAAAATAAGTAGGATAGAGAAAATTAGTTCTTACCCAGCTTCAAACACACTGTTTACTATCAGTTTAGGTAGAGTTTCTTTGACTTCCGTTTGCTTACAGCTAGGGCTAGACAATGGAGTTAGCTAGCCTTTCTTCTGTTGGTTTCTGGGAGGCTTCTCCTGGACCGATCGGAGAGACCGCCGTCTCTCCTAGATCCCTGGAAGTACCTTCCTTCATTGCCACCTCTCCGGGGCGGCTTCTGGCCCATTTAGGGTCCCCAAACAAGAAGAAACTCAGCTGAAGAGCTCGGCATCCCGAGTCTCCCAGCCGATGACGCTGCTGGCGGAAACAGGAAGTCTTCTTGAACCATTCCTTGTTGCCTTGGCTGTGTGTTTTGGGTCAGTGCCATGCGGGAATACCCATTCACAACCCATTTTCAATGCCCTGGCTGAAGGAAGGAGGTTCTCACCCAAGATTTGACGGTACATGGCCCCATCCATCGTCCTTTTGATGCGGTGAAGTTGTCCTGTCCCCTTAGCAAAAAAACACACCCAAAGCATAATGTTTCCACCTCCATGTTTGAAGGTGGGGATGGTGTTCTGAGGTCATAGGCAGCATTCCTCCTCCTCCAAACACAGTGAGTTGAGTTGATGCCAAAGAGTTTGATTTTGGTCTCATCTGACCACAACACTTTCACCCAGTTCTCCTCTGAATCATTCAGATGTTCATTGGCAAATTTCAGACAGCCCTGTACATGTGCTTTCTTGAGCAGGGGGACCTTGCAGGCGCTGCAGGATTTTAGTCTTTCACTGCATAGTGTATTACCAATTGTTTTCTTGGTGACTATGGTCCCAGCTGCCTTGAGATCATTGACCAGATCCTCCCATGTAGTTCTCGGCTGATTCCTCACCGTTCTCGTGATCATTGAAACTCCGTGAGGTGAGATCTTGCATGGAGCCCCAGACAGAGGGAGATTGACAGTTATTTTGTGTTTCTTCCATTTGCGAATAATTGCACCCACTGTTGTCACCTTCTCACCAAGCTGCTTGGCGATAGTCTTGTAGCCCATTCCGGCCTTGTGTAGGTCTACAATCTTGTCCCTGACATCCTTGGACAGCTCTTTGGTCTCGGCCATGGCGGAGGGCTTGGAATCTGATTGATTGCTTTCTTCTGTGGACAGGTGTCTTTTATACAGGTAAAAATCTGAGATTAGGAGCACTCCCTTTAAGAGAGAGTTCCTAATTTCAGCTCGTTACTTGTATAAAAGACACCTGGGAGCCAGAAATCTTGCTGATTGATAGGGGATCAAATACTTATTTCACTCATTAAAATGCAAATTAATTTATAACTTTTTTGAAATGTGTTTTTCTGGATTTTTTTGTTATTATTCTGTCTCACTGTTAAAATAAACTTACCATTAAAATTATAGACTGATCATTTCTTTGTCAGTGGGCAAACGTACAAAATCAGCAGGGGATCAAATAATTTTTTCCTGCACTGTAAATAGTTCTTAGTTTAAATTTTCATACGGGAACCTATTTATCATTGCTTTGGTTACAGTTTGGCATTGTGCGTAGCATTTATGTATTCATATAACATATCTTTATGTATACCTCCATTAAATTTAGTTATTACAGATATAGTCTTTTTTTCTTTAGATGCTTAATCAGTACCCTAAACTAGCATATCCACCAATGGCAGGTCCCAGCAGATTTCCTGCCCCATCTGAGAGCAGCAGGTGAGAAAGCCAATTGCTTTGCTTGCTTTTTTCCAAAATCAGTTTGCACTTGATACTAGAACTAGATTTGCTTAATAACTGTATAGTCATGTATCCACAAAGTTAGACATTGTGCATTTACAATACATTATGTGACTGAAATTTGTAATCTCTTAGCAGACTACGAGAACATACTGGTATCAAGAATTTTAACTTATTCCTCGACCTGATTCCTAAAATTTGATTTTAGCTTCTAGTTAAAAATGTACTCCAGTATTTTTTCAGTATTGTGTTAAACCAATCATTTAATCATTAAGTTGGAAGAATCCATTTAGCTATTGAATATCTGATCCCCTGCTCCATGCAAGAATTCAAATTAAAACATTCCGTGGTAAATTGCTTTAGAGCTATATAAGATCTAAATCCATCTATTTAGATAGATCTAGTCTCTGCTTAAATATGCTGCATAATTTTCTCTCATTTGTTATACCTAAGTTGAGTACCATTTTCTGAGGTTTAAATTGAAATGTTTGCTCTTTTTTTTCTAGAACCCCAAGAGGAAGGGGGGCTTCTTCATGGAACTCAGAAACTGTAGAACGTCCATCAATCCTAACTGCTAATGAACTCAAAGAACTTGATAAGTTTGATAATTTAGATGCTGAAGCCGATGAGGGCTGGGCTGGTAAGCAATGTAAATCTTGAACTAAAATTGCATGCAGAAAAAAATATTCATGCTAATCTCCAATTTGTTATTTAGGAGCTCAAAGTGAAGTAGATTATACTGAACAGTTGAACTTCAGTGATGATGATGAGCAGGGAAGTAATCAGAAAGAACAGGAAAGCAGGTAACAAACATATTGGTACAGGAAATATAAAAATCATCTGCTAGTCTTTATGTTCTGTGTATATAATGTTTACAGTTGTTTTCCATTGTGATATAGTGCACAGTTATCTAACAGGTATTAATATCTGCTTAACTATAGAACTTACATTTGCTTAATAATGTTGAGCATTTCATTGTTATCTAGCCTGTTTCACAACATTTGCGAACTAGCATTGTGTAGTGATTAAGAATTGGACTAGGAGCAGAGAGACCCCAGATTCTAGTTCATCAGTCACCCATGCTCTTTTAGTTACTTTGGGAGAATCATTTCTCAGATGTTGTGGCAGAGAGAGCAATAGATATGCTATCTTAAGCTTCTGAATAAAAGCAGGATATGTATATTTGTAATCTCTGCATGTTTCTCATTATGTTAATTTTGGCTTTTTTATAGTTGGTTGCTTCGTGGTTCCATTTTCAGTTACCTTAAAAACTTGATAGGGTTGCACTAGTAATGCAATACTTATGAAATTAGTACAAAGATTTTAAAACTTTGGCATAAAAATTGCATGCAAAAATGTTTCCATTTATTTTTTTATGCAGTAATGAATCTACTACAGATTTGGACAAGAAGGATGTAGAAGAGCCTAAATCATCTGCTCTTTTGCCATCATTTGGATCAAAAGGAGCATATAACAAAAGCAGTCAGTTCGATCAGGTATGTGTTGATGCTGTCTCTTTAGAATCATATTGTTCCTGAAGAACATTTTTTTCCCTCAGTAAGCATATGCCAAATGTCTGAATGTACAAATTCTTTTCATGCTACAAGTGGCATTTACTGTTCCAAACATAATTCCATTTATTAGTTTGAGAAAATTTGCAGTAAAAATATTTCTTCCTCTCTCTTCCAAGAGCAATTAAATCTGACCTTTTCTCATCGATCATTAAAGTTATCAGGCTTTTATGATTAGGGTTATGTGTAATATATGTGTAATATAAATATGAGTTAAGTTTCATTGCTTTGGCAAAGAGTTGTCTTCCATAGATTTGAAATATATTTCCATTGCACATTTTAGGCACAAGCAGAAGATGTTTCATTTTGACATGACTTTTGATTGTTTGCTTGTTCTTGGTTTCATTATTTAAAATCAGGTTTTAGGTTTTATTGGTGTGTTAAATTCTGTTTGAAATGTATACTTTTATCATGTCCTGTATACCAGAATATCAGGTTGAAAGTGATAAATAATTTCATATGTTTAAAAGCAAATAGTTTAAATAGATAAATTGATATGTGTTGGGGAAAAGATTTCAGTTTTTCTGCTTTTACACTCTTCCTCTTAAGTAAAATTTAATTTGCCCCATTTGAAATGGTTAACTTTGTTCAGCATTTTAATTTCATACAAATATCCACAAAGATTTTAAATTAAAATCTAACAGGGACGTGGACTGTTACCAACACAATCTTCAGTACTTGAAAGAAGTAGTAGTTCTGGACTTCATGCAAAATCAAATCTTCAGGTATCATCAACATGTTTGTTTAACAGAAATCATGTCTGATTGATATACACATATTCCTTTACCTGTCCTTTTTTATATAAAATGCTGATAGTTTCTGTTGGAATAATTGTAAGAAGTTGAATTTGAACATTTTTCCTTTAAATGCTTTTGCTGAATTCATAGGCTGAACTCCAAAATGAATGTGTGGGATGTGTCACTTTTTTAAAAATTTCAGTCATTTATTCTATATTAGATGCAGCAAGTAAGGCATTTATTTATTTAACTGATTTATATGGCCGCAGATCTTAAGCAACTCTTGAAGGTTTAGAACAACCATAAAACCAATAAATGAGGCAGTATTAAAAACAAAAACCCTGTGCCGTAGTTATGCCCCTTGGGATTCTCCACAGCAGGCTCAGCTACTCCCCTTCCATGCCTTCTACCCATGTAATGCCAGCACATCAATAAAAAGCAAGGTATTAATGGTTTTCCAGAAAATTAGAATGGGGTCCTATTGCATTGCTGGCAGGAGGAGTTCCACAAGTAGGGGCAGCCACAGAAAAGCATGCTTGTGCGGTCCCACTAGATGGCAAGATTTCAGGGAGGGAGGGAGATTAAAATTTAAAATACAAGGCTGCTATTCCTTAAATTTTAAATTTCAGTAAGCCTAAGGAATTAAAAGTTAAAATTCAAAATAATAAAAGTCTTCCAAACAAATACTTAGAAGAAAGATTATTTTAAACATCTCTTAACTGAAAATGTTAAATGTGTATACATGTTGATAATTCTTTGATGAAAATAGATCAAATTCCAGGATCTCCAGCAATGTTTTTTCATTTATAATTGGCACTACTTATTTTTTTATTAAACCTGGCCTGAGATATATGACAAATTATTTGGAGGACTCTCTTCCAGAGAGAATTGAATAACCATTTTTCTCGTGTATTTAGGCAAGGAAATTTAATCGCATATCTTTGGTTTAGATGTTTACTTTTTTAAAAAAATTATTTTAGCATCCACTTCCAGATCGCATGGCAGGACCAGGAAGGCAAGGTTCCTTTCCTCCTAGGCCAGTACCAGATGACGATGAGATTTGGAAGCAGAGGCGAAGGCAGCAAACAGAAATATCTGCATCAGTAGAACGAGCCCGTAAAAGGAGAGAAGAAGAGGAGCGAAGAATGGAGGAACAAAGAAAAGCTGCATGTGCTGAGAAATTAAAACGCTTAAATGAGAAATTTGGGTGTGTACCAAAGCCAACTCGAGAAGACCCATTGAAAGAAAAAGAAAAGATTGGGGAAAAAGACATTGATAAGGAAAAGGAAAAAACTATTGAAAAGGAGAAAGAAAAATTGATAGATGTGGAAATAAAAGAAAAAGAAAATCAAGAAAAGGGCAAAGAAATAGAAAAGGAGAAAGAAAGAGAGGAGAAAGAAGAAGTGGAAGAAAAACCTAAAGTAGACGAGAAACCTAAAACTGAAATTTCTGAGCCTCAGGAGTCTGTCATTGCCCCAGTGATATTAGAAAAACAAGAAAAAGAAACCACCAGTGAGGAAGAGAGAGGTTTGTATCAATTCTTTTGTTAATGTAAAGCATAATTGTCATCCACATATTGTTGGGCTGCAGTTTTCAGCATTCCTTGTTTTTACTCGAGTTGACTAGAGCTTTGGCAGTATTTCAGGGGGTGGGCACAAGATCTACACCTCAGATTGGAAGCAAGCAGTATTTTATGAACATTTGAATCTCAGCCAGCTCTACCCTTAAAACATTTGGACATCCTGAAATAGGCATTGAGCCTATTCGTAAGGAGGAGCACATTTGTAAATACGTTTAAAATAGAAGTCTTGCAAAATAATGCCAGGAAAGTCAACTACAGTATAATTTTGAATATATGTATGTATGTATGTGTGTATGTATGTGTGTGTGTGTGTGTATATATATACACATATAATAATAACATCAACATATAACATGTTTTTAATCAGCTTGTTTCCATTGTATTTATAAAAGTCATCTTATTAAATCATTATATGTCCTGTTTGCAAGATTCTTATTGAAGTTTAGTTTCCCCTCGGTATTCAGACCACTCTTATCAGTCATAATTTTCTCAAAATTCATTACCTTTAAATATCCAAACTTTTCATTTAAATAGACCCTCTCAATGTTTTAACATTTCATATATTCTAAAAGTATTATACTACTTATATATCGTATTCCTCTTACTATAGGGCCTTTTTTGTCTTTATTATAGTGAGGTTTTGCAGATATTTTTTTTGTATTAACTTGTAGTTTTTTTCATTTGTAGCTTTTCTATTTAAGTCACTTTCATTTAATTTATGTTGTGTTATCTGATTTGTTTGTTCATTCTTTGTTGTCATTTTTTGAGTTTTATTTAATTGTAGGTTTAAATTAGAGATATGTTCGTTTATATTGTCAAACTTATTTCTAATGTCATCATGGTTTGAAACAATTATCATTTGAATCTGTTGCAGCATTATGTATATTTTTTCCTGGAATATATTTGTTTTGTCTTGAGTCATTGTTTTTGCAGATCTTTGAAGCTCCAAACTGGGGTCTTCAGGAGAAGGTGTTGGGTATGGTTTTCTATCACTTTTAGATAGGTATATAATATCCGTTTCATCTCTCCCCTCTAAGTAGTTTTTCGTCGGTGTCATAATCTTTTTAATTAGCTTTATCAAGCCAACCCATCTTAAAATCCAAACAGCCAAATCTTTTATAATCCAATTGTCAAGGCACCACTGAAAACAATATTTTGTGACAGTTCTTCTTTTCAAGGGTCTTGTAATTATCAACCAGTCAGGATTCAGTCCAAAGTATTTGACCATCTAAAAGTTTTCCAGTAATTTCTCCTTTAGAAGATTAGCCAGAGGCCAAGAGTTTTCTTTTTCTGCAAACAGTTCTTAGGTTTAAGAATGCAGCTCAGTGTGTTTATAATCCCAGAAGGTCAGCAGTTTCTAAACATATGTAGTTTCACTCAGTAGTAGATAGCTCAATGCTTTGTGCCCAGCTATTTTTTGCTATTTCTAGGCATCTTGCCAAATTCTGGGTCAATGTTGCTATAGTTTTCTCTAATCCTCCACTAGATGTCAGTTCATTTTTCAACTTTTTAAAACAAAGAGTTATTTTTGTTCTTCTTTATATATATATATATAGTATGACCAGCCTTTCTCCTGTAGAGTTAGAAATCTTTCCCTAAATCGAGCGAAATGACTGCTGTCATTCCAGAATCGCTGGGGCGCCCTTCTTTTCTTTACCGCCTCTCCGGGGCAATTTAGACCTATTTAGGGTCCCCTGTCAGGGTGAAACTAGCCATGGGGTGCAGAGATCTGTGATCCCGCAACCGGGCGCTACAGTGCAAAATCGGAAGTCCTGGTGAAACATCTTAAAAAACACTGAACTATATGTTTCGTTTGGTTCACCATTTTATCAGTTAAATCATATGTGGCACTAATCTTTTTTGTCTTTCCTCTTGGACAGACTGTCAACTTGTTTCCACCATACAAGAAACCAATCATAACGAAAAAGACAATTCACATGAAAATGAGCCTGATTCTGGTGCTCAGCCTCGTCCTGCTGTTTCTTCTGGCTATTCAAAGCAGTTTCAGAAATCGTTGCCACCACGATTTCAGAGGCAACAGGTAATGGATGTATCTTAAGCTTTATAGTACATATTTTATTCAATTTCATTTATGGAGACACATAAATAACTTATAACTGTAGATTCCATGGAATAAGTAATAGCTTCCACGACCCAAAGTTAATCTAGCAATTTTATGTTAATTGCTCTTTCTACATCTGTAGAATATTTGTACACCTGTACCATTTTAGCCTAGAATTTACATATTTTATATGTAAATGTAGAAATTAACTATGTTATTTATCCATCCATCCATACATACATTGTCATAGTTAATGCTACCAAAGTTCCCATAGTGAGAGTTGGGAGTTTGGACATCAAGAACATTAAATATATACTATTCCAGAACACTTGTAGCTGAAAAGAATATAAATTAAATATATAACATGTTTCTAAGAAAGAAATTGTATAGAGGAAAAGTTGGTTGAATTTGCTTTTTTGTAGGAGCAAATGAAGCAGCAACAATGGCAACAGCAGCAGCAAGGAATTTTACCACAGTCTACACCGTCACAACCTTCTAGCAGTCCTGTTCCCCCTCCACCACATAGACCATTGTACCAACCTATGCAACCGCACCCCCCACATTTGGCTTCTATGGGCTTTGATCCAAGGTGGCTCATGATGCAGTCTTATGTGGATCCAAGAATGATGTCAGGAAGACCTACTATGGATATGCCACCTATGCATCCTGGTATAACTCTTACTATATGCTGTAGGCAGAACTTCATTTTCTCGTTTTTCCTAGGCATAATTGTCTTTGTGCCTCAGATCATCATCAAATATTCTGAGATTAGGTATTTCAAAGGGATATTTATTTCAAAGCAAGTATGTTGAAAGCTACAGTACTAGCCTTATTAGAAACATTCCTCTAATGACATTATTTGAGGATAAATGAATAGCTACCAGGAATATGATCTCTTCTATGTTGTGCCCCAACTGCAAAAATATGTTCCTACAGCAAAATATATTTATAGGATGTGTTTGTTATACATTTTAAACAGTCTTTCAGTGTATGTAATGGGCTGTAATAGTAACCTTTAGGAATAGGAGGAAGAGTCGCAACCCAGTCAACAGTTGGACAATTTTAAGAAAGCCTTTAAGGCTTGTCCCTCCTTTGTGTCTTATAGATAAAAGAAGGGAGAAAGGAGGTGCATTCAGACTTGCAAGTTTCTGTTACTGTGATTTTATAATAAAAGTAGTATTAACATTCATAACTCTGGGGTTTTTAGTCTGTTTGAAGGGCTAACAGTTTTACCCCTCCGTGTTAAAAGTCAGAAGAATTGGATGCCAATCCTAGTACTTATTCTTCTTAATTTGAATATCTCCATTTCAGGAATTATACCTCCTAAACCACTTCTGAGGAGAGATCAAATAGAGGGGACAGGAGCTGGTTCAGATTCTTTTGATCATGTTACGCGATCAGCAAGGGAACATGCCATACCACTGACAGAATCACGTATGATATGGGGGTCAGAACCATATACTCACACAGATCCTCAACAGACTAGTACCTCCCCCAAAATCCTTGAAGAAACTGTTGATATAAGGTAATCTTTGGGTTTTTGTGTATATTGTGGCTTTCTTTCCTACAATGCTTACATTCAGGCATACCTCTAACTTTCAAGAATATAAAAGGATTAACATAATTTGTTTCTAATTAATGTTTTTTCTTACAAAATAACCATATTCTTCAGTACTTGTCTCTCTTGGACAAGTAACAGAAAAATGTAAATGTAATTCCAGTTCCATTAAATTAATAGAATTAACAGATGGATATTTGGCAATGAAAAAGCAGAGACATTGTCCTTTATTTTTATTATGAACTATTTGACTGTTTTCCACTTAAAAAAAAAAAGATTGTCCACATATCTCCCTCATCATTAACTACTTTGACCCTGAATGTCAGCTATAAGATATAAAATACATCTATAAATAGCTATTAATATTGCTAAAATAATTTGTAGTGAATTAAATTTAAAGCTCTTATCATATACAAGTGGCTCTCATTTAGTGACCACATTTGGTACTGGCAACTCAGTCATTAAGTGAATCTGCAACTATGCATACGATCTTCACCTTTCCTTTGCTTTACAGACCTGCAAATGTCATCAGTGTGAGGATTGGTTGTAAAGTTATTTTTTAGCACTGTTGTAACTGAATGGTCACTAAATGAGGACTGTCTGTAAACATTTAGGTCTGTTCATTTTAGCAGCTACAGTATTTCAGTTTCTTCTGAATACATGCCCATTGGGATGCTTGTGAGATTTACTATATGTTTAGATATAACCATATTCTAAATGTTGAAAAGCCGTTCCAACCCCAAATAATATCTCCAGAACTAATTGGGTTACCAATAGATATCTTCCAGGATACAAGAAATAACTCACATTTTAAACATGCTTCTATGTTTAATATTGTTTAGGAGATTGATAAGACTTCAACTGAAAATGTGGCTTTTTTGCCTCTAGGTCTGAAGAACTTTTGGATCAAGATCAAATAACAATTCAAGCAGTATACTCAGGAGAAGAGGGTCTGTTAGATCCCCATATAAAGACAGACTTCAAAGAATCTGAGGATGTGAACATGCAGCAAACTTCAAGCAGGTCTTTAGAAAATGCACAGTCTCATCAATCTGATACATGTCCATCAGCAGTAAGTTTTGAAGTAACTGCAGGAAATATTTCAGAAAGCTCCAAAGAACAACAGATGCCTATAGAAGAGAGTAATTCTTCTCTGAAGAGGAGCATTTCTCATGGATCAACTCATTCTTTGAAATCAGAAGAACCAGTGACTGATACACAAGCAACTGTTCCCAAAATAAACAACAGACATGCTGAAACAAAAGAACCACTGCTGGAAAGACTAGACAGCAAGCAAAAAAAGGAGGGGTTTACAACTAGTAGGTTGTTAGAGGGATCAAAACCTGAAAAACCCTTTAAACCTAAATCTGAAACTAGATGGGGTCCAAGGCCAGCATATGGTAGAAGAGAGGAAGGTAGTGACAGGCCGATGAGAAGATCTGGTCCCATTAAAAAGCCTGTTCTTCGTGATATGAAAGAAGAGCGTGAACAAAGAGAGGAACGTGAACAGAAGAAAGAACGGGACGGAGAAAGATTGACAAATGAGAGAGTCAACAAAATTGAGAAAAGGGATCAGCCTCAGATGCCAGTTTCCAGGTTAGAACCGGAGAAAGCCACTACAGATGATAAGAAAACATTGCAAAACACATCCCAAACTGCAGAGTGTACAGACAACCCCACAGAATCTATAATTACACCTACTGTTCAGCAGCCTCTCATTGTACAGCAGGCAGCAGTAGTACTTCCTGTATCTCATCAGCCAACTACAATCCAAACACTTCCACCTTCAGTTCCACAGCCAAATACTCCACAAACTACAATTGAGGCTCCACCACTTAGTGTACAAGAGTTATCAGTTCAACAACCTGCAAATGTGAAGGAAGAAAAACAGCCAGAAAAAATAATTAACAAAGAACGAACTGTAGAAAGACATGGTATTGAAACTAGACCAGTAAAAAGAGAGCCTGGAGTACCTCCCAGAACATACTGGAAAGAAACTAGGGACTGGTTTCCGGACCAAGGATACAGAGGAAGAGGACGTGGAGAATATTACTCTAGAGGACGCAGCTATAGAGGTTCTTATGGAGGCAGGGGTCGAGGTGGAAGAGGTCACAATAGAGATTATCCACATTACCGAGATACTAAACCTAGATTAGAACATGTTGCTTCTGGTCCTCTTAGGCAGAGAGAGGAGAGTGAAACCCGTAGTGAGAGCTCTGATTTTGAAGTTGTTCCAAAACGGCGAAGACAAAGAGGCTCAGAAACTGACTCTGACAGTGAAGTACATGAAAGTGCAAGTGATACTCTTCTGTCAGACAAGGACAGCTTATGCAAAGGCAAACACCCAAAGAAAGAAGAAAGGGCAGATGTTAAAAAACCTTCAAAAGCCCCGCTGTCTTTCAAACCTGAAAATAACATTCGAGGGGACCATAGAATTGTTGATAAAACATATATAAGAGAAGATGAAAATAAGACCAAACCAGGTTTTCTTCCTAAAGGAGAACCTTCTAGACGTGGCAGAGGGGGGATGTTGAGACGTGGTGGAAGGGATCCAGTTGGTCGCCCACCTCGACCATCTATTCTTAGGAGACCAGGATACAGAGAGAATCAGTGGAATCCAAGACAAACAGAAATCTCCAAGGCTGAAGATGGAGAACCACAACGAAGGCATGAGCATTATGGCCCTATACAGTTGGAAAAAAGACCACCTGCAAAGTTTGAGAGGAAATTTGATCCTGTAAGAGAACGACCACGAAGGCAAAGGCCTGCACGACCTCCCAGACAAGACAAGCCACCACGCTTTAGGCGGTTAAAAGAAAGAGAGGCGGCATCAAAAATAATTGAAGTTACAACTAGTTCATCATCAAGTGTGGCAGTGAGTAATGCTGTTAATGAGCAGCCAAGCACTACTTTGGAGATTTCAGGAAATAAGACACCTGACTTGTCCAATCAGAACTCTTCAGACCAGGCAAATGAAGAGTGGGAAACTGCTTCAGAAAGTAGTGATTTCAATGAGAGACGCGAGAGGGATGAAAAAAAATTAGCAGACATCACAGCACAGGGAGCTGTTAAAACAGGAGAAAACACACTAATTCCTAAAAGAGAAATAGCTAAGAGAAGTTTTTCCAGTCAGAGACCTGGGATTGATCGGCAAAATCGCCGTGGCAATAATGGCCCATCCAAATCCGGACGAAACTTTTCAGGGCCAAGAAATGAAAGGAGAAGTGGCCCTCCAATAAGATCTGGGAAAAGGGGGTAAGTATGAAAAACCTAATGTAGAAAGCTTCAAATAAAAGCCAATTTTGTTATTTTATTTTGCTGGAATTTTAAATTATTTTAATTTTAAATTATTTTTAAAAATAATGTGTTGTTGATGCTTCAGATTTTGATTCATGTGTTTCAGAGCATGTAGGAGCATGAATGCAACACTTGAGTGTAACTCATTTTGCAGCCACATCTGTTTTCCCAGGTTGTGCAGTTGCAATGGAATTCTCAACATAGCAGTTGCACAATCTTGAGAACAGATATTGCTGGGTCTATTTAATGAGTTGTAGACATGCTGTGTTCACATTCCAAGGCTTTTAGCTCTCTTTAAAAAAAAACATGAATCCAAACTTGTGCAGCTCTGAAAGTTACTTCCATTTAAAAGATAGGAATAGGGAAATTGTTGTTATGGAGCATATTTTTAGGAGGGAATTGATGAGAGAAGAGATACATTTACTATAGATAAAGCCAGCATTAAAAGTGGTCAGAATAATTCCTTCTCTCTCAGTTTCTTTTCTTATAGTTTCTTGGAAGTTAACAACTGAGAATGCCTGATAATATTTGATCACTTGCATAGTTAGTCCTTAACTGATGACCATAATGGAGCCTGACTATTACAGTCAGACGTCATAATGGCCATTAAGTGAAGCAACCATGTGATCATCTCACTTAATGACCCTCCTTTCTGTTCTTCCTGATATGGTTGTTAAACAGAGCACAGGGTGCAAGGGCCCTGCCCTTGGCCTCCCAAGGCCTCCCTTCCTCCACTTTCTGCCACTTGGCCCGTTGCCATCCCACCAGGTGCAACAACTTCCTCTTCACCCCATGTCACTTATCTCATACTTCCCTTTCCAAGATTTCCAGAGTTCACGTTAAGGAAGCAGAAGAGACCACACAATTCCTGGGCCACATAGCATGATCTCAGAAGTGGCTGCTATTTTCAGAGTACCCACAATTCAATGCAGCTCTCCAGACAATGGTGGCTTCTTCCAGGATCCCACTAGGCAGCTCAGGAATAAAGAGGCCTGCTCTGTTTCGTTAACATGAGCTCTGGAAAGCTCTTGCTGACAAGATTCCTCTTTGGAACAGGTAGTGTTTAAATTTCATGCTATCGTCACTTGAATTGCAGCCATAAGAAAACCTTGACTCAGGATAAAAGAGGCAACCTGATATTTTAAATCAGACTGATTAAGTCTACTCAGAATCCTTAGACCAGGCATGTCAAACTGTATTTGTTAAGAAAGGACAAAATAGCTCTACTGTGGTACAGGTAGTCCACCACTTACAATGACAATTGGACTTGGAATCTTGATCATTGAGCAAAGCAGTCATTAAGTGAGATTCCATGTGACCACTTCATGCAGTGATTGCAATCCCAGCTCTCCCATTGGTGGTCTTCAAGTATAGTGTGGGTTGTTATTCAGAGCATTGGGTAGAGAGCCTTGACCTCCTGGACTTGGTGAGGTAGGGAGAAAAATCCCTCAGTATGCTGGAGGAACAGACCTCAAATATATTGAAAATGCTAGCAAATGCCATTGTTCTTGGAGGCTCAAAATCCTGGTGTTCGCTAGCATTTTCACCAGATTTGAGGCCTGTTCCTCCAGTGTTCAATAGGCTTTCTCATCCCTGTATAGAGGGGAGGGGAAATCCCTTGGCATGCTGGGGACATACCTCAAATCCAGCATCTCCTGTTCTTACAACCTTTCCTGCCATCTTTCCGTTGACTTTCTGGGAAAGTTGGCAGAAAAGATTGCAAATGGCGGTCACGTGATCACAGGGCACTTGGCAACTGGTCATAAATGTGAACAGATTACTAAGTGCCCAAAATGTGGTCATGTAACAGAGCAGGTGCAACATTTTTCAGTGGCCCAAAGCACCCGTTGTGCTGCATAAAACAACCATAAGTTGAGGATTACCTGTATGTAAAATGAGGCATGTGGAATTAAAATATGGACAATGTTCCATAATGTGCTAAATATCACTATTTCTTCCATTGTTGTGCTTTTACTAATTATTTATTATTACCAAATTAATTGGTCCTGTTTCTTTTACAGACCATTTGAAGAACAGATACCTGTTGTGATTAGCACTGAATCAGTAAGCAGCAGTTTGCATCAGGAGGACAATGGTAACAGTGCTGCTGTGCCAAAAGGTTCCAAAGATAGCAACAACAAGAAGCGGGAAGAAACCAAGTCTGGCCCAAAGAAACTCAAAGAGAAAGTGGATGCAATCTCTCAGTTTGATCTTAATAACTATGCAAGTATGTACTTGGAGAATCTCTTTAAGACACTTAAGATTCATAAATGCTCCATTCCTGCAGATTTTCAGGAAAAGATTGGATAGCCATTTATCCACAATTATATGAGGATTCTTGCACTGAGCAGGGGGTTGGGCTAGAAGACTTCCAAGGTACCTTCCAGCTCTATGATTGTATGTAATGGTTTCTTCATGAAACATTGAGTGGAATAATGGGGGGGGGGGATCCTTTCCCCTGAATAAACTAAACCTATGATAATGACCATTGCTTTTAACTGGTGTCTAGGTATAGGTCTAATTAAAATTTGGATTTCCTTTATAGGCGTTGTCATTATTGATGACCATCCTGAAGTGACAGTAGTTGAAGATTCCCAGTCCAACTTGAACAATGATGGTTTTACTGAAGTAGTGTCAAAAAAACAGCAAAAGCGTTTGCAAGATGAAGAACGTAGAAAGAAAGAAGAACAAACAGTGCAGGTTTGAGATCGTGCATAGCATTACTTTTTCTTTCTTGTAGAAAGAAGTATTGATATGAATTATATCTAGTTCCTCAGATAATTTCAATTACACTTTCTGCACATTCTTTAGTCACTGCAAAAAAGAATTCTGATTTACTCTATTTTGTGATGTCTTTTTCTGTTTGGAATCTTACAGGATAAGTTGATCTCATACTATAAACTATTTACATAATTAATACATTTTATCACTTACTATC